TGGTCCAAAATCTGCGTAGAAGCTTTAAAAGATGAAAAATAAAAACAAGTATGCATATTTTAAGTGTCCTGAATATAAATGCTATTTTGTAGTTCCTAAAATCAAATTATGACAAGAAAGCATCAACGAATCCAAACTGATAGTGGTCATACAATTCTAAGGTATCATCTCACTAACAGAAAAAATAGTCTGTTTAACACCACCTATTTAAATGGGCAACAAGTGGGCTGGAATTGTATCTCAATAGTAAAGAGCTCAGCCAGCATAAATAAGGCATTGGGGTCCCTCCCCGTGATAATTGTTTTGAGAATCACACACACACACACACACACACATACACACACACACACACACAGAAACATGTGATGCATACTAACTCTAACCTCAATTTCCTTAATTAAAAAAGCTGTTCTTGCATACATATTTTCCACTGTTAAAACCAGTACCTTAGTACATGTTTATATTTCATTACGGCATCAAAGTGCAAAGATTAGAACATAAAAATTTAATGTTTAACTGAAGGTTCTTTCTATCCCTAAATATTACTTTATTACCAACAGTTTGAAATAGACATAGGAAATTCAAAGAATCTTGAGGACATTCTTAAAATATCTATATTACACTGAACTGGAAAGCCTGGAAAACATGAATCAGTTCCTATATATGAGCGACCTAACAGAATTAAATAGCATCCTGCAATGAGTGATATCCAATTTATGATCTTCTATATCATCTGTACACATACCTTGAGATTCTTCAAAAGAAATACCAAAAGTTACAGTCTTTTAGAAGGCAATACTTACTTCTCATACTCAAGTTCATTATCTATGCTGAAATAATGTTCGTTTGATGCACTCCTTGGTCTGCTGTAGAGAATGGCAAAACAAAGGCGATCTGAAACAGAAAAATTGCAATGTTCCTTCCTTCAAGTTATCAGTCTCCCAGGTCAAGATGCAACTCTTTTCAGATGGAGTCAAAGGTGGCTTTTGGTTTGTTTGCCCCCCCAATCCCTCGGGCATGTTTCAGATGATGGGGGTGACCATGGGTAATTTCAAAATATTCTGACTCTTTTGGTAGATAATAAGCACAAATTTCAAAGAAGAAATTGCCCTAAACAGTAAGTTTCAATAGTGATCAGTGACATTTCACATAGTGATATGGTGTGATTTCTAAAGCAGCTGATTCTTCACAAAACTTTAGTTTCTTGGACTAAGAAATCTCAGGAAACAGCAGCATGCATTTGATAGCTAGTCACCAACCATATATCATGTTATAGGGCATCCTGAAAAGAACTGTAGTTAAGAAACTGTAGTTTTTAAAGACAAAATTGCTTTCAAAATTGCTGTTTATAGCTATAGAACACAAGAAATGGTATGTTTATCCAATTTGTCTCAGGTACACACACACACACACACACACACACATATTTGGAATCATCCTTTAGGCTTCTTACAGGTAAGGCAAATTAAACAGAAGCAATGAGAGGTTTCGGCAGGGTGAGGCTGGGATTAAATCCATGCTGCATAAATGCAGTCAGGCTGCTCTGAGGTTTAGCAAGAAGGGCAGTCATGTTCCAAGGTGCCACCTTTCTTCCACTCCCCCAAAAAGGTTGCCTAAAACTCTTCATGAAACAGCAATCTCCAATATCTAACAGTGAAATCAGCCATGGTAGAATAGTACACGCTCTAAACGTGGCAAAAATCAAGGATACCTTTGAAATATATATTACTTTCATCTCCTGCAAGTTGGTAAGAACGTAAGAAACAAAAGCTTGGACCCTGGCATCCTTTCCCCAGATGGTAATTTCAAACTTTTTTCCCCCCTCAACTGCAACTCAACTCACATAACCGTTGCATTCATGTTCTAGTAAATGCAACTGAAAATTTCTTGCAATCGCAAGCACTCAGATCACAGGGCTTAGTCCTTTCCAACCACAAACGACCTTTGATCCCGTTGCACAGAGCCAAAGCATTTCACCAGCTCCCGAGAGTGTAAGGACACAGGGGTCATCAGCACACCAAAGCAGGGACTCGCCCCAAAGCCACTCGCCCCAGAAGGGAAGGCCAGCCGCTCCCATGACAAGCAGGTCGGGGCTCCCGGGGTCCCTCGACTGCCCCGGCGCCCTGTGCCCTGCACACTCACCTCGGATCACCTCGGCCACCCGAGGGGTCCGCGCGCCCTCCCGGCTCATAACTCCAAAGCATCTGGAAGGCAGGGCGAGGATAGACTCTGTGGATCCGGCGACAACCAGCCACGGGAAGAATGCAAGGACGGCCACACCCCCAAAGTTTAAAAAACAGTGAAGTTTAAAGGACCGCGCCCAGGCACCTGCACAGCGACACCCTGGCGGGTGACAGAAGGCAGACAGGGAGAGCCAACCCCGGAAGTTTAAACTCTGGGACGGCCTGAGCGGGGACGCGCGACCGGGGACGGTTGCTCTGCAAAGACAGCAACCCCGCCCACAGGCACGCGCGTCCAGGGGCCAGCTGCCCTGCAGAGCTACCTGGCCCGCTCAAGACGCGCTCGGCACGCACAGGACGAGATCGGGATGCGCAGGGCCAGCGCAGACCCAGGAGGCCGGGGAACCCACGGGCACGCGCGGCCAGGGATCAGCGCTCGGCAAAGGGAGCAACCCCGCCAGCTTAGTGCACAGGGCCAGCACAGAGCCGGGAGGCCTGGACACCCACGGGCACGCGCGGCGCGCGGTGACAGACCCACATTCCATTTCTGTCCTCCGCCCCCCCCCCCCCCCCCCCCCCCCCCGCCGCTAGGGGGCGCTGCCGCCGCCCGCACCTCGGAGCCGTCCCAGGCCGGACCAGCCAGGCTTAAAACGCGACTGGGCGCTGGGCCCTGCAAAGTGTCAGCTTCGAAACTGTGCAAGACCAGCAAGACTTCAAGGCCCGGGGCTGGACAGATGGGAGCACTTGCAGCTCTTGTAGAGGACCCAAGTTCGGTTCCCAGCACCTATGTCGCAGGGCTCAGAACGGCCTGTAACTCCAGTTCCAGAGGATCCGACACCCTCTTTTGGACTCCACGGGCACGTGCAAATACACACATATACACATACACACATACTTAAAAATAAAAAATAAATCTTTAAAAAAAAGAGTCCCCAAGGCCAACGCGTACTTGTTCAAGTGAGTTTGTTTCCTGAGCCTCTTGCCTCTGCCTCTCCAGCATATCCTACCTGCGTGTGATGCCGCAGAGTACGTCTCAATAAATGAATATAAATAAATAGAGGCCGGAGAAGATGGCTCAGCAGTTAAAGAAAGGCTCTTGTCCCTGGAGGAGGGAAGCCTATTGACCGGATTTCTATCCCGGGAACCCAAGTAAAAGGGGAAGGCAAGAACCGACTCCACAAAGTCCTCCTCTGACGTGCACACACACGCGCACACTATGTGCATGCACATACGCACACTAAATTAAAATTTTAGTATAATGGTAAGCTTAACACTAGGGCCATGTGCCCCTTTCAAGGTGAGGGCATAGTCTAAAAGCATCTGATACCCTTCCTAAGGAACCATTCAAAATGGTTCGTATCTTAATCTCAAGAAAACTAGTTAACATACAGGATGAGTGTGGCCCCCATTGTATATAATATGGTGCTGGGATTGTGTTTATTTCCTCCCAAGTGTTCTACAGAAAAGTGTTCTACTGAGGGGTGAAAATTTGTCAATAACTTTCCCTTGAAACAGAGAAGCAAAGCAATAGCAAGTCTTTCCTAAAAACGACTGTGTATAATCTCAGTGCAATATACACACCACTATTTTTGCTTCAAAGTCCTGCACACTCCCTAACCTTATTCTAAAATTTCAGATGGATCGACTATGTGGGGGGGGGGCAGTGACGGAGAGAGACAGAAAGACAGATACAGAGAGAAATTCTTTTCATATTTTCACTTAGGGAAGACTTCTTAATGACAGAAAATCAAAACACTGTCTGAATCACTGATTGATACACATTTTAAAATAGTTTTCAAGACACTAAGTACAAACCAAGCCAAGGGATAAGCTGGAAAGAACATTCTAAATTCATCTCAAGAATATACCCAACCTTAAATATGTTATTGCAGAAATAACTGAAATGTCATTTTAAAGTTTGAGGTACTATTCTTCCCTCCCACCGGCAAAAAGCAACCGAGTGTGATAGCCATCATGCTGAGCAGACTGTGGGAACAAGCACTCTCCCATACCACCTGTGGCTAGCAACAGAAACCGAGATGCCTTCATAAAGAGAGCTGTTTGGGCAAACATGCTCACAACTGAAAACTGCAAAGACTGTCAAAACAAATTACCATTTACACAGGTGTATTTAAATTTTTTAGAATTGTACTTTATTTTGTGTGTGGCAGAGGACAAGTCTCAGTTCTCTCCTGCCCCCTTGTGGGATGCAGGGATCGGGACTGAGTTAACATCATCCAGTTTTCTTGCAAGCACTTCTAACATTGAGTCATTTCTCCAGCCCTACCTATATGTGCTTAAAGCCCCATCATTCATGTATGTATTTAAAGCACCACCTTTTTATATGTGCTTTAAAGCATGTGTACACCAGCACAGGACTATACAGGACACCTTGTACAGCTAATCTCCAGAGCCAAGAAACCGGTCAGCAGTGGGCGCCCTTAGATCAGGAATGTGGGCGCCTGGAAACAGAAGGGAAAGGAAGACCTGGGTCTTTTCAAAGCTTTTGAATTTTGGACAACACGTTACCTATTCAAAATGAGAAAGTTTTGAGAAATAAACTTGCAGGTTAACAGTGTTCATACAAAGCTAACCCCCACTGTGGTACAAAGCACTGTGTGAGACAGCCTGGAGGGGACCCTTTCCATACGCAAAAAGGTGAGAGTAACTGTTTTTGTTTTCTACTCACCTGCTAAATTCCAGGTTGCTTTTTTAAGTAGTGCCAATTAAACTAAAAAAGTAAGGCCAGTGAGATGGCTCAGTGGGTGAAGACATTGGCTGTCAAGCATGACAACCTGAGTTCAATCCCAGGATGCAGCTGGTAGAATGAGAGAACAGACTCCTAACAGTCCTCCTCTGACTTCCACAAACAAGTGCATGCATGCATATGCACACAAATAAATAAATAAAAAGTAACAACTTTTTTTAAAACTAGAAAAATAGCTAGATGGAACTCAGAAGAAACTTTTCCCTCCAAGCTCAAAGCTCAAATCCAGTTTTCTAAAAAACATTTTATACATTTCAGAAGGATAAGAAATCAATGACTGAGTCCACTTACCCTTACATAAAGTCACAATTCTCTTTACAGAGCAGAATTGTAATAAACTATCACAGAGATTAGGATACTGAGTTTGAGGGCATTTATTATGAACCTAGAGCTTAGGGCTGGAGAGAGGGCTCAGTAGTTAAGACTGCTGGCTGCTCTTCCAGGGGATCTAGATTCAGTTCCCATCACCCACAGAGTGGCTAACAAACATCTGTAACTCCAGTTCCAAGGGATCGGACACCGTCTTCTGGCCTCTGTGGGCACTGCATGCAAGTGATGCACTTATACATATGCAGGCAAAACACACACATAAAATAATAAATAAAAAATATTTTAAAACACAGAACCGGGGGGGGGGGCTGGAGAGGGGGGTCAGGGGTTAAGAACACTGGCTGTTCTTGCAGAAGACCTGGGTTCAAATCCCAGCACCCACATGGCAGCTAACAACTGTCCATAACTCCAGTTCCAGGGGATCTGACAGCCTCTTCTGTCCTTTGGGGGTGTTGCACAACACAGGTGCACTTACCTACATGCAGGCAATAAACATATACACATAAAATAAAAATAAATAAAATATTTTAAAAAACCCAGAACCTGGAGCTACACATATGCTTCCTCATAAAGTTTACCTTAAAGGTCTGTGATTAACCTCACAATCCTATTGTAAA